AATCACCTATGTGAGAGAGAAGTGGGGCCGCTTTGAAGAGAATTGTGTGAGGCTCAATTCTTAGACCCTCTCACAGAACCAGGCTATGTCCAGGGCCACTAATGGACATAATAATGAGAATTGGAATATGTTAGGGAGAATCCTGTGTGAAGTATATTCATCGTTTACACAAAAGGCAGAACAGTTCAAAGACATCGCGTCTACTGGTCAGCTAGTAAAGTTAATGTGCTTTCACAAGAGAAGGTTCAAATGGTAACACCTACCTATCCTATGCAGGTTTCAACTGTTGGACCATAACATTATTTTTCAATTTCATTCATGTGGGGGATTGTTGGAAAATATTAATGAAATTGTAACTGAAAAAAGGTTTTTCTTAAACCGTGTCTTACCTTCAAACATGTAACTTGTGTTCATGTTACAAAGGACTTATTAAGTCTTTACTTTAATGAACTATTAATGATATTTATTAAAGTGTCTTATCTTAGCCTATATAAAGGGATTTGTCATATTTTGAAAAAATAACTTACGAGAAGAAAGAAAACAAGTGTAAAAGTCCATTCCCCATTATTATTTAAGTGTTTTGGTCCAGGCATAATTCCAGTTCGTCGAATTAGTTTCGATTTTTCCGTTGTATCCTGGGAAACAGATGCTCATACGGGGCGAATCTGTTTTAAGGACATTGTGTTCTCACAGGCCTCGGTATTTGTTATATATAGCCATCTTATTTTTAATTTCCCGTTTAAGTTCCCTACAGAAGTTTCATCCCATGTGGACGTGATTGCTGCACCCTGAACCCAGGAAGCCCCTGCAAGAAAGACAAGACACGCATTAAAGGCTTGTACGTTAATCCATCGAGTACAAACAAAGACAGCATAGGATGAAACTTGAAAGAGAGCCTCGTACCTTAGCCTGCTCGCGTCCATCACATCTATTCTGCGACATCGTACACCCGAAAACCGAATATCGGTTTTACCGATTTTATTTTTATTTATTATTTATTTTTGAT